CACACACAAATTAAACAAATATATGTACAAGCCTGAAGCCTTAAGCAGGACTTCCAGCATGTTCAAACTTGTTGCATATCCCAGCAGACCAATCTGCTTTAGCCAGCATTAAGACCACATTTGGAATAATCTGTAGCTGGCACCATAGTTCAGGAAGAGTGTTGACATGTTGGAAGGGATCAGAGCAAAGCTACAAGGATGATAACAGACTAGAAGCAAATCCTATGATGAAAGGTGAAAGGAAATTGATATATACAGTCTGGGGGAGGGAGATCAAGAGAAGGTATGCTGACAGTCTTCCAAATTTTCCAAAGAAGGCTCAAAGAAAGATAGAAGGCACAGCTGTCCATCACCCTTCCCACCAAAGATATGTCACAAGTACAGTTTGGACAGAAGTAGTTGCAAACAACTACTTACTGATAATTAATTCCTTTGTATTGGTTAACGCACAACTAGAGTGCATTGCAGCTTAATGAGGGATAGCTCCTTTATTTTTTTAATTTTTTTTGTAATACTGTCCTCATAAGATTTCCAACATGCAAGAACTACTGCACCACAACAAGGATTCTAGTTACCTCAAAACATTAGGATAACACATTTGCTTCCATTAACTTAGGCCAACTTTGCTGACATAAAAACTGCCTAATTTGTCCATGCTTCTTTTTTATTGTTGTTATTTGCCATCAAGTCAACTTTGACATATGGCGATCCTATAAATGGGAGACCTCCAAGATCCCCAGTCATCACTTGCCCTGCTGAAGTCTTGCAAACTCAGGAGGGCCATAACATTCTTGTTTGAATCAATTCATCTGTAGTGCAGTCTTCCTCTTATCCTATTGCCCTCCACTTTACCAAGTATTGTCTTTTCCAGTGGGTCACATCATCACAAGATACATCCTAAATAGGAGAGCCTCAGTTTAGCCATCTATGTCCATGCCTCTGCTTTGCAGTGTTTGAGTTTTCAGAAAAGCAATGAGCAATTTTCTCCTTTCAGTGGAATGAAGACACACCATTAACAGTAAATCCCAGCAAGATAAAAACTAGTACAGTCAGCCCTCCATATCCACAAATTCTTTATCCACAGATTCACCCATTCATGGCTTGAAAATATATTTTTTAAAAATATATAAATTCTTAAACGTAAACCTTGATTTTGCCTATATATAAAAAAAATATTTTCAATCCATGAATGGTTGAATCTGTGGATAAAGATTTTTTTAATATATATATGCACACAATTTTACTATTACATTGTATATAATGGGACTTCAGCATCCATGGATTTTGGTATCCACAGTGGGTCCTGGAACCAAACCCCAGCGGATACCAAGGACCCACTGTATTTGGACAAGTCTCATCTTCAATGAACTTGTCATATCCACTTTCCAACAGCGGAACACACACACGTGCACGTGCGCACACACACACAAAACCACACTATATTTTTAGACTTGTTTCTTCCCCTTTCCCATAATTTTGGTACCATCCTATGTGATGAAGAATTCTGAAGAGCTCAGAAGTTTGTGCACTAGGTTTGTGGCATATCAGTGGTCATAACTACTCAACTTTTGATTTTTGATTTTGCTTATGGACCACACAGCTGTTTTTTCAAAAATAAATAAATACTTTTGTTGTATAACCAAAACTGTTTAGTTATCTTTATAAAGAAGAGATGCAGCCTAGCCCATGGTGGAGAAGGAATCTCACATAGTTCACTTGTGCTATTGGCTCATGCTGTGTTTCAAGCTTGTTTTCTGCTGCTCCAGAGACTAGGACTCAAATTACAAGAAAAGAGATTCCACCTAAATATAAGTAAGGGAAAACTTGTTACTCTAAGAGCTGTTCGGCAGTGAAATAGACTACCTCAAAAGGTGGTGGACTCTCCATCTTTGGAGGTCTTTAAACAGAGGTTGAATGGGCATCTTTCAGGAGTGCTTTAATTGTGTACATGGCAGGGGGTTGGAAAAAGAGTTTGTCTTATATTACAAGGCAGCAGTTTGTAGAATTAAAATGTTTAGTAACTGAAAAAGAATTTGTTGGTTACTCTGGAGAAAAACAGAGGAAGTAAATTGTTACTGTTAAAATAAACATAATTGTAACTAATGCCTTTTGGCCTTGAAACTGTGACTGTGATGGGTTACTTTTAAAAGTAACATTCTGAGCTTTGAGCTTGTAAGCAGTCAGATTACTTTTTTTAAAAAAAAGTAACTGAACTGCCCATGTGTTGTCATATTCACACATTGGGAGCTGTGTGGAGTAACACCATGAAGAACTGGCTTCTATGAAGCCGGGTGTGTGCCATAATAGGTGGACATAAAGTAGAAAACAAAGTCACCCGTGCTAGTGTGCTCAAGAAAGCAGTACTAGAGCCATCCCATGAGAAAGCAGGTTTTTAGTTTGATGAGGACCTGGGCTGCTTTGGCCGAGAATACGAAATGCCAATCTAACCTACACTGTTAATCCCAGGATGCCATAGGACAGAACCAGGGTGATTAAAGTGGAATTTTTGTTGTTAACTGCCTTTGAGTTGCCCTAGGTTCCTGCTAATCCTGTGAATGAGACATCTCCAAGACTCTCTATCCTCAACCTGCAGATTCAGGCCCATGGCTTCCCTGGTCAAGTCTAACCATCTGGTATGTGGTCTTTCTCTCTTTCTACTGCCTTCCACCTTTCCTAGCATTATTGTCTTTTCTAATGAGTTATTCCTTTTCATGATGTGGCCAAAGTGAGACAGCCTCAATTTAATCATCTTGGCTTCCAGGGAGAGTTCAGGCTTGATCTGTCCTAGGACCCATTTGTTTGTCTTTCTGGCCATTCATGGTACCCTTAACATTCTTCTCCAGCACATCTCAAATGAGTTGATTTTCTTTCTGTCTACTTTCTTCACTGTCCAGCACTCACATCTGTGCCTGGGGATAGAGAATACAATGGACTGGACGATTTTAACTTTTATGTTCAGTTGTATATCTTTGCACTTTATGATCTTGTCTAGTTCTTTCTCGATTGCAATCTCCATTCTGATCTATGATTGATCCAGCATCTGGGAAATCTTTAACTATTTTGATTTCCACATTATCTGAATGGGGCCCATATCAAGTCATATAAGGAACATGCTCACCTATATATCACAGATGAAAACTGAGATATATGTGACCAAGCAACATAAGAGTGTGGCCAAATGGGAAAGGTTATTATTATGGTACAATGCACAAGCGAGGATAGGCTGCAACAGTTTGATTTTTCCAGATCCTACTGGGAAAGGCAAGATTTATTATTTATTTATTTCATTTCTGTTCTCTCCTCTCCTCCATGTTTATTAATTGAATACATACTACTGCACATGGAACACAATTTGCAGCAACTGAAATAAGTTGGGGAGGAAGAGGGAAAGTGGAGGAGGAGAGAGAAAATGGGACATTTTTAAAGCAGCTGAGAAATTGGGATAAATAAGAATTCATTAGGACTGTCCCTGCCAAATTGGGACAGCTGAAGAGTATAAAAGAACCAACAGAAAGCCCTGTTAACCCTGTGGCCAGTGTTCCCAGCATAATCATTCAGCCTGACGAATTTGTCCATGAAGAAAACTGAAGAATAGTGCCTGTCCACCTTGGCACTATTCATGACTATGTCTCCTGTCTTTGACCTTGCTGGATCATGATAATAGGAGCTGGCAGGGGACGAATAAAATATCTTTGCCACTTGACTCCATTCTTTAGTCTTTTTATTTGAATGGTTTGCAATTCAATCTGAACCTTTTCTGAACTTCACTACTGTTATGATGCTTAGGTTGTTGTTTTTTCTGTCTTTCATCTTTTGTGACTATACAATAGTCCTCAAGTGTACCTACCACTCCTCAATTCCTTAACTATTCAGACTGCAGCATAATGACCAGGCAATATTTCAATGGTAGGAGTTAATATCATCTTTCCAAAAACTGGGGATTCTGGATTATGTTGGCCCAGAATGTCCATCAGCACCAGACAGCCTAGCCAGGGAACAACTGGAACTGTTGTAGAAAACTTGATTAAGAGAAAGTCATTAAGTAGCTGGAAATCTCTCTTATGTTTTTAATAAGATAAGTTTAAAGATGGTGAACTCCTCTCCAACTAAAGAGAGAGAATAGAGTTGTGTAAGTGAAACAGAAGTTGGCAATTTGTTAGGGGCAGAGAGATGAGTGTCACACCGGAATTAGCTGGATCTAAAGATACAGATGTGCATTTGTGTGTGTGTGTGTTCTCCAGTAGACCATCTCCTTTGAATATTGCTAAATAAAGCAAATATTAAAAAGGTACCTTAAGTGGCCTGTACTATCTTGTGTGTGCACATCTATGTGCTTTCAAGTCACCTGCCAACCTCTGGTGACCCTATGAATTTCTAAGGGTTTTCTTAGGCAAGAAATGTACAGAAGGCTTCCCTTCTGTTAAAAACAATCCAATTTTTGATCCATATTATTTTCGATGCACTCCCTCAGTTCGCTATCCCTGTAGCCTTTACTCCTAAATGCTACATATATTTCTAGTAACAGAGAAATACACTGTTGGGGGGGGGGGGGAATAAATGCAGTGTATTTATAAAATGAAAATATAAGCAGAATTAAGTAAATAATGGGGAAATTTTGAACTTTGAACATTGTCCTCCAAATTTCATTTGCATTCCAATTCATGCTTCATGTTTTCTACTTTGTATTTCTTTTTTCATACATGCATAAGTTTAGAGTTCCTATGAGCAGCAGCCCACATACCAATCCCACACATTAACTGCAATTTCCCATCGTCATCATCATCATCATTATTGTCATCGTCATCGTCATCATCATCATCATCATCCTATAAAGTGTCTACAGTTTCCTAAAAGCAAAATCTCTCCAATATGTCATAGATGAAAACTGGCCCATTCCACTGCTGCCTTTCCTTTCCTCCCTTCTGAGTTAACTGAGTATAAATTACTTCTGCACTTTAAATCCAGTTTACAGCAATTGAGGTCAGCTGAGGACAAAGAGAGCCAGAATGGTGTAGTGGTTTGAACACCAGACTGTGACTCTGGAGACCAGGGTTTGAATCCCAGCTTGGCCATGGAAGCCCATTGGGTGATTTGGGCAAGTTATACTCTCTCGGCCTCAGAGGAAAGCAAAGGGAAAACCCCTGTGAACAAATCTTGTCGAGAAAACCCCATAAGTTGGAAAGGACTTGTAGACGCACAACAGCAACAGCAACCATCCATATTGCACCACATTTTACCCACTTATCCTTGGCATGCTGGGAAACCCAGTACATATTTCCTGCGGAATCTGGTCTGATCCCTTTTGTCATTGGGGATAGAAAGCATTTGAAGGAGGTGAGGGCCTTGTCCCTGGGCTTTTTCCTTGCTTTTCCCCAGACAGCTGAACCTCTTTGGAGTGACTGGCCCTGTCAGGATTGTCAGCGTGTGATTAATGACCAACAACCTTGAAATTGCCCTCATTGCCACTTTGGGTATTGTTTGGCCTGATGCTTAATGAGTCTGGACATACTTTTGCAAAGCTCTTTACTGAGACAGCTGTTTAGTCTCATGGCTTCATCTGCTGATAGACTGGGGTTGGGTGACAAGCCTATCAGCTCATGAAAATGAGTCCCTGCCTGGAGGAACATGCAGTCTTATATTCAGACAAGGAAGACAGCAAAAGGAGATGAACATGTGAGTAGCAATGGGTGGAACAGGTATTTCTTTCCACATAATGCAATTCTTTTGTTCACTTTAAAAAAAAAAGCAAAGGAGAGTCCACAGATCTGAGGTCTGCCCATTCCAGAGTTAAAATGTCATAGAAGCAAAATTGTGCATGACATGGTTGCATGTGTAATTAGGAAAGGAGCTTTTCTTAAAACAATTGCAAAAAGGAGTTAATTGCCATAGTAATTACAGTTTTTAAAAAGGCGTTGATTTCCCATTTCTCAAAGGTAACACACATAGGAGTTTATCACACGGGGCCCACATTCGTCACCATCCCGTCGTTAAAGCATGATTAAAGCATCCCGTGATTAAACCGCTAATGTCACGTAATAACGCAAATGATTTTCCCACTCATTGAGAATTAACGCATAATAATGCAATAATAACAAGATAATAATGAGAGCAAGCTGGAGACATCCCATTAATAATATGAAATGTTATTCTTGTGCATAGGGATGCGGTGGCTCAAGTGGTTAAGACGCTGACTCTGTTAACTACAAGATCAGCAGGTCAGCAGTTCAAGGTCCAAGTGCTACATAATGGGGTGAGAGCCTGTCACTAGTCCCAACTTTTGCCAACCTAGCAGTTCGAAAGCATGCCAATCCAAATAAATAAATAGGTACCACTTCAGTGGGAAGGTAAATAGCATTCTGTGCAGTCATGGTGGCCACATGATCACAGAGTAGTCTCTGACAATGCTGGCTCTTTGGCTTAGAAACAGAGATGAGCATCACCCCCTACAGTCAGATATGACTTGTCAACCTTGTCAATAGGGAATACCTTTACCTTTATTCTCGCTCATGCACAAAGGTAGACATGACAGTTGCATCACAGGAAGGGCACTGAAGAGCCATGGCACCGGCTCTTAGGGCGGCCTTTTGCTGCCCCTAAAAGGAGCGACATTTTTCTGCTCTTTTCAGGGCAGCAAAAGGGAGGATTGGAGCCGCGGCATGGGGTTGCCACGGCCCCGGTCCACTGCTTCCCGGGGCAGCTCTGTGCTGCCCCAAACGTCTGGTCTGCATCAGCCCTTACTCTTTTAACTCATCCAAGGGGGTTTTGCTGGTTCAATTTTCTTTTGTTGCATTGTTTTTTCATTGGTTGTACATTGTTTTTTACGTTACATTGGCAGCATCTCGCTGAGAAATGAACAATATTGTAAAGAACCTTTCCCTACCTTCTTTACAAAAATACTACCTTTTTTCCTAATTCTCCAGAAGTACCCTCCTGCCACATGAGGAACACCAGAAAATATTACCAGAAAGATATAATCCACAGTATGGACAAGAAAGGGCAGCGACCTTCTTGCCAACCGGCAATGTCTGTCGCAACAGCACAGGAAGTAAACTTGCCCCACTGAACCATGGGAAAACCAGCAACGCGATTAAAAAGGATGATTATCATGCAAATATATCAAATTTGGCTTTTACACCATAGCACGAATAAAGTGATATCATGAATGCATTAATGCTAAAATCCCAAAAGTAAAAAGATGCGGGATAATGCCTCTTTCTCACCACTTTAATAGCGCATTTTATGCAACATCATGTGAAATTGTTGCACGTAATTGCATGATTTTAGCGGGATTATCACAGGATAATCCCTTTTAAAAAAAACCCGATCTCCGCCAGTGTGATAAACCCCATAGATACTTTTATTTACTTTTTTAAAAAATCTGAATGCTAAAATCTATTACCTTGCAGTACGAATCACACTTTCTTTCAGTGCACTTTGTCTTTGCCTCGATTCATGCAACAGAGGATAAGGCAGCACAGCAAGCAATTGAGCTATTTCATATTCTCCACCGCTTACTGAGGTCAAAAACCCAATAACTATAAAAATAAGTAAAAGTTACAGTTAAAGCAGAAAATGAGTGGAATCATCTGTCACTGGGTTACAATAACATAATTATACCTTTGGCTATGTCTATACTTGCTGGAAAACTCAGTGGCTTCTGGATTCTCAAGCGGTCACACAATTGGCACCCAAAATGGGCCAATGCTGGAATCATTCTCCCCTGCCCCACAATGTAGCTTTGGTCCTTTTAAAATGAGCCAAACAAGCTAGAGACTGCTTGAAGATCCAGAGATTATTTTACTTTATTTTTTACCAGCCTCTGCTTCTTTTAGGTTTTTCATTTTGATGACCAGGCTTAGGGCTTATTTAGATGGTGAAAATAATCCAAGTAAAATCTGGGTTGAACCTTTGTTGTCCACACACATTTCAAATGCATCCGGTTAATTTGGAAGTGCAAAATAACCCACTTAACCCAGGATAATTGATGTTGGGGGTTTTATCTGAGTTTTTCTAAAAGATTCGCATTCTCAGCTGTGTGAATAACTGATGTGAATACACCTCCGATAAACCAGGATAAAACTCTGCATGCCTTGAATGTGTTTTGAATACATTCACATCATAGACCCCATCATTATTCGAGTGCTGGCATGTGTGAACAACTGAACTCACAGAGATGTGCACAGATGTGGTCACATAGTGTGAACAACAAACCTGGAATGTGTGAGTGAGATTATTTGCATAGTTGCGCCAAAAAACAAACAAACATCTGAATGACCCCTTGGAAATCTATGCTTTTTAAACATGTTAAGGGTAGCTGGTGAGGCAGGCATATCTGCTCTCCTTTTTCTCTCTTTTGCTGATCACATAGCTTGGTAAGGGATTCAGAAAGCAGATGCTGAAGGCTGTTTTTGTAAGCAGGAAAAACAAAAAGTAAAGATATTCCCCGTTGACAAGGTTGTCAAGTCGTGTCTGACCATAGGGAGCGGTGCTCATCTCCATTACTAAGCCAAAGGGACTACTCTGTGATCCTGTGGCCAGCATGATTGCACAGAACACTGTTTACCTTCCCACCAAAGTGGTACCTATTTATCTACTTGCATTTGCATGCTTTCAAACTGCTAGGTTGGCAGAAGCTGCAACTAGTGACAGGAGCTCACCCCATCATGGGCCTCGAACTGTCAACCTGCCAGTTTTGCAATCAACAGAGTCAGCATCTTAACCACTTGAGCAGGAAAACACAGCTAAAAATACAGTTGAATTCCACTTTTTCCCAACTTAAGTTATGTTTATTTCATTGCTTACTGCAAACACAATGCTGTAATACAGCAATGAAAGATTTTGGGGCTGTACATACAGCCTGGGGGTGGAGTCGGGGTGTGGCGACCACATGCCGGCCGCCCTTACTCCTCCCTGATGTCGTCCTCACACCATCCAGACAAACAGATGACGGGCAGCATCAGGGTGCTCCCTTGGCATAATGTTCATACATGCTGTGCCAAAGGAATACTGAAAAGCTGCTGCTGCCATGGCAAGGGAAGCTTTTTGCCACTGTAAAAAGGAGTGGCATTTGCCAGCTCTTTTTAGAGTGGCAAAGTACCGGATCAGGGCTGCAGTGTGCAGATGCTGCATCCCCAATCCGCCAAGGAAAGGAGCAACGGGATGCCACCCCTTACGAGCCATCTGTTGAGCCCCTAAATTTCTCTTTCCCTCCTTCTCCATCCTCCCAGTGTCTATGCTGCTAAGGGGTTGGGAGGTGGGACTTAGGGTTGGGGCTGTTTTTACATTGTCTGTTTTTAACTGCTGTAACCCGCCTTGATTGTTTGGGCAGAGAGGCGGGCTATAAATAAAAATTATTATTATTATTATTATTATTATTATTATTATTATTATTATTAAATGTCCAGCTAGACAGGAAAAGAAAAAAAGTGGAAGGCTGAGTAGGCCTAAAAAGACTTTGTAAAAAGGAGCTTCTTTATCAGAGGCTTTGCTAACTGAGGTTTGCCTGTATAGAGAAACAGACAAAAGAAGACGGCTGTGAACTGTGGAATAGGCCTTTGGTCTGATCCAGCAAATCTCTTCTTATGTTCTCATAAGACCAGTTGCTCAGTCCATGGGGCTGGACTGGTTTGCACCAAATATTTGCTTCCAGCTGCATTCCTTTACCCCCAAGTTGCATCTGCCAGCAGCATGTTGAATGTAGCCATCTAATAAGGGCAGAGTTTATTACTGTATGATTTCCCTGTTAAAACAATATGATGAAACAAATGCAGTTGGAAATCTGGGGTGTATTTGTACTTTGGAGATTTATTGCTCTGGTGGCTTCCAGAGGGACATAACCTTTCATTCTCTTCCTTATTAGAACATATCAGTTTGCAGAGTTGAAAGGGTTCTGGAGCTCTGATTTATTTAAAGAGAGAAGCTGGGGAAATGTAGCTTTCTCTTTTCCTGGCCTGGACCTTCTAGAATGTCCCCGCCAGGAAATGTTGTAATGCCTCTTCTATATTTGTTAATTCACTGAATTATTATTACATCTATTAAGGCTCTACCAAATTGACAAGGACCATTTCTCAGA